GTAGAAAAGCCCCCATGCCTCCGCAGCCTCCCTTCCGCCGGCCGCCACGCCGCCGCGGTAGTGTGGTTAGGATGCTTGCGCCGTAATCCAAAGATCGTGCGTTCGAATCTAGGCGCGGGTCGTACTTAAATCGAAATTGCAAGCAGAATATGCGCTTTTTTTTTCTTGATAAATCACTGATATTGCAGCTAACCGTTCATAAAACTATCGATAACAATGGACTGAAACCCAAAATATAGAATACATTCTAATAAAACAAATTCAAATATGGCGGCCGTTGCGCCAGGCTCCGCCCCCGACTCCGCCCCTTCGTGTGACGTCGTCTGTGCACTTGGACACACAGGGAGATAGGGGACGACATGGGCCTGGTCTGAGCTGCATGAGAAGCCTGATTTGCGAGGCATAATGTGAAATATAGTATGTAGTATAGTAAGTATAGTATATAGTAGGGGAGAGTGGGGCAAAGCGGCCACCCGGGGCAAAGCGGCCATCCATCGTTTTAGCCCTCCACAGCTGGCGTCAGTTCCAATTTATGATTTCCAATTTATACTTCTCTTTGCGGTCGTTCGAATGAGCCAGACCAGGGTTTCAGGCCCATCGCCATTGTTCTGTGAAACACAGAAAAGCATTTCTTGCCAGGTTACCAATTATGTTTACAATTTTTAAATGTTATTTTATTCCATAACCGTTTGGAATTTTTATAAGCGTTTTTGTCCATGCATTGCGTGGTTATCGTACATGCCTTCTACCAATTTTAATGCTTTTTACCCCACAAATAGCTGAGCTGGAATATTTTTGTCTCGGACGGTATGCGCGGGGCAAAGCGGCCGGGGCAAAGTGGCCAGCCCCCAATTGGCCATAAGTTGTTTCCATCTGGATAAAATCATTATTTATATTCAAATGTGTCGTCATGCATTCATCTTGGCCACTTTTCGGTTACATGAGTTACCAAATTATGCAATTAAATGTTTTTCAAAGAAAATTCTTTCTTTGTTTAGCCATAGGTGGGAAGATAACAAAGCAAACATCCATCTTCCCTTAAACCTTGTCACCATCAAACACCCTAGTCGTGCATGCGGCAACTATTCTGTTTCTCATATCGGGACTTGAGAAGTCGCCAGTGGCCGCTTTGCCTCAGGGACAGTGGCGCAGCCAGAACTCTGGCGACGGGGGTGAGAGACGTTCGTGATGGGCCCCCCAGCAAAGTGGGCCCCCCTCAACCTAATGGGGCCCCTTACCAACAACGAAAGGTCAGATCATTGTCCTGATCATTACCATACCAGCCAAATCGGGGAAAAGGACAAATATCTCTTGATCTGAAGAGGCACGTAAAAAACAACAGCATATTTACAGAAACACGACCATTCTGCTCATATTTGATGGACAGCGTGCAATTGATGGCCAGCGGCCACTCAAATGGTCGGGCTAGGTCAAAAAGCTTTTAAAAGAGCTCAACATCAGTTTTTCGACTATTACTTTTGATATAGGAGACGAGGTAGAGTAATGAAATTGTCTTGAAGGTGTTAATCATCTATACGGATCAGTTGATGACCATCATGAACTTGTCAATAACCTAACCTAACCTAACCTAACCTAACCTAACCTAACCTAACCTAACCTAACCTAACCTAACCTAACCTTACCTAACCTAACCTAACGATCTGCGGTCACATTTAGAAGTTGAACTTTTTATGTGAAATTATAGGTTAACATTCGATGCATGTTAACAAGAGAATGATGACAAAGTAAATGTCTCATATTTTTTCTCACCAAAGTTCTTGCAAGAATTCTTAGCAAAACTATTTTGGTAAAATGCGACTATTTAGATGGTTTTGCCCTCTGCTCTGTTGCCAAACCATTGGCATGAGGCATTGAGGTCAAATCTTAAAAGCGAAAGCGTTTTGAAAGGCCTATCGAATGAGTTGTTTCGCGAAGCTCTTAGCTCTTTGGTTCACGAGTTATACGATTATTTGTGAAAATATAAAAACATGAATTTTTTCGTCGTAATCTTGTCTTTGTGTTTATCATAATTTCATCATAATTTCATCTTTAATGACCTCAGCGATGACATAATCGAAAAATGACCTCTGGCTCTACGATTCTGAAACATCCTACAGCTATCTGTTGCTTTTCTCGTCTTTCTAGCCTTCTTAAATTATGATCGGGTTTGGCCGATACGCCCCCCCCCCCATGGCTGATTGCACGCGTTAGAGAGCTATCGAACCCACTTTCAGCGCTTTAGCTTATATATGTCCTCGAGTGTCGAAATAGGCGAAACTTCTCCTTCGATGAACATGATGACGTGGGCTTTGGTGTGAACTGCAACATGACTGAAGTAATTTCTCCATGATTTTCGACGCTCTTTAGAAAGCCGCCTACCGCCGCACTTGTCGCTACGTGACCCTGGAGTCAGGTTAGAAGGGAATATTCAAACACCCCTCAGGGGCGTAAAACTGGAAAACCTGGGGCGCTGCTCTGCGGGGCGCTGTCGAGCTAGTCTAGAGCCAGTTCGGGATGTTTACAAGCCCACGTAAAGCCATCAAGAATCTGCATAGAGCACAGACCTTCCAAGACTTGGAGGTTTAGATATCAACAATCGACATGGTCTTTTGAGACCTGCGTGGTGGCTATCAGAGGTCGGTGGGCCCCTCAAAAGCCGGTGCAGGAGCCTCAGGTCACAGGTGTCAGTTTGGAGCCATCATGGACCGGTGTGGACCGGTGTGGACCCTCCCACACATAGGATAGGATGATCCTTTCATTCCTGGGATGAGTCTTCTCAGGCCTGAACTGGGCCCTCTCAGACCTGAAATGGGCCCCTCTCAGGCCTGAAGTGGACCCTCTCAGACCTCAACTAGGTCCTCTAGGGCCTGAAATGGGCCCTCTCAGGCCTAACATTAGCCCTCTCAGACCTGAAGTGGGCCCCTCTCAGGCTCTCAGGCCTCAAATAGGACCTCAAGGACCTGAAATGGGTCCTCTCAGGCCTGACATTAGCCCTCTCTGACCTGAAATGGGCCCCCTCAGCCCGGAAATGGTCCCTATCATGTCGAAAAAGGGCTCCCTCATACCGTAACTGGGCCCTCTCAGGTCTGAAATGGTGCCTCTTATGCCTGAAATGGGCCCCTCTCAGGCCTCAAACGGGCCCTCTCTGGCCTCAAACGGGCCCTCTCTGGCCTCAAACAGGCCCTCTAGGGCATGCCCTCTCAAGCTTGAAATGGGCCCCCTCAGGCCTGAAATGGCCCCTCTGAGACCTGAAATGGGCCCTATCAGGCCTCAAACATGCCCTCTAGGGCCTGAAATGGACCCCCTCAAGCCTGAAATGGGCCCTCACAGGCATCAAATGGGCCCTCTTAGACCTGAAATGGGCCCCTCTCAAGCCTCAAACAGGTCCTCTAGGGCCTGAAATGGGCCCTCTCAAGCTTCAACTGGGCCCCTTCAGGCCTGAAATGGGCCCTCACAGACCTGAAATGGGCCCACTCAGGCCTGAAATGGCCCTCTCATGCCATGGAACGGGCCCTCCTAGGCCTTGGATTAGTTCAATCGGGCCTTGGATGTACCCCCTTAAATAATAAAATGGGACTAAAAATCCTAAAGGGGGGGGGGGGGCTATCATGCCTGAAGACTGTTTTTCGGTCCTATGACGGACCTTGACATTAGTGATAAAAAATTGTCAGGCTGCATAACGTTACAGTTCGAATCGACAGTGGGCCCCTAGGATGAGAGACGGGGGTGAGATCTCACCCCTTTCACCCCCCCTGGCTGCGCCACTGCTCAGGGATGGGGCAAAGTGGCCAATATGCTATAGGTTTAAAGTTTTGTCAATATCTCCCATATGTGAACGCCTTTGAAAATGAAACGCAGTTGGAATAAAAGACAATTTAATAGGGATCACATTGGTATAGAAAGAATCTTTTCAAGTTTAAAAATCAAGCGTCGGCATCGTTAGAAACGTTAGGGTGGCCGCTTTGCCCCACTCTCCCCTACATAGTAGGAAAGTATTGAGTACGTGGAACATAAAGTAGTGGAATTTTGGTTTCAATCTAAAATCGGGAAACGCTTTTCAGCACAAAAAGCCAAGCTGCGGCTGCGGCTGCGACGTTGGGTACATTTGGCACCGTATAGTTGTTATTACTGAACGTAATGACAACTAATGACTCCTAATAACTTTTTTACTCGACTAAAGCTGATTTCCTTGCCGGTACATTGCCGACCCGAGCCCCAGGGTTGACAATCATGGGATATGGGTCGGATGGGCGACCTCGCGACGGGAGAAGGAACAATTGCAATTGTTGTGCCCGCACCGCCGATTGCATTCTCTATCTGCACCGGGGGGGGGGGGAGCAGGGGGCACGTGCCCCCATCGGATCAGGGGGCCTCTCGGGCCCGAGGGCCTTGCGACGCCAATTGGCGGCTGAGGGTCTACGCTGGCATCTTTCGACTCAGAAGGGCCTCACAGGGCTCTGAAGAACACCTTATGTGCTCCGAAGAGCCACACTTCTATCCATAAGAGCCCCACATCGGCTTTTTAGTGTCCCTTGTCGGCCTTTGAGGGCCCCTTGCCGGCTTCTCAGGGCCTATTGGCGACCTCTGAGGGCTACCTACTTGCCGGCCTCTGAGGGCCCTTACCGGCCTATCAGGGACCAGCAGCTCTAAGGGTTCCACAAACGCCTGCGATGACCCCCTAAACCAATGGTTGAAGGCCCCTGTTATGTTTTGGTTCGTTTCAAGTGAAAGAGCACACAATCAATGGAAAACGCGATTTATTATACCGCGATACGTTCAGGCCGAAAGAGTGTCCAAAAGAGAAACAAGTATGGCGAGCGCCGCGCCTCGTCGCCCGCGCCAGTCATGCCGCTCGGCGCGCACCGTCAGCTGGCGGCGGCAGAGGCGCTCACAGGCACGGAGCCGGGGCGGCCAGCGGTGGCGGCGGCAGGGGCGCGCGCAGGCGCGGCCAGCAGCCGTGCGGGGGTTGGACCATAATACAACACCTCCCCCCAAGACGATCACATCGTCTTCACTCCAAGGCGCCACAGCGGACCCTCCGGGGTCCGGGCGCACAAGGCCACCGCAGCGCGGTGCAGACGGCGGCGCCTTCGCTCTCTTCCGCGGCGTCTCGGGCGCTTCTTGCAGCGGACGCGCCCGCCGTCGCACGGGGAGGTCCGCGGCAGGCGTCGCTCTGGTGTCGGTAGCGGCCACGGGTCGCGGTCAGCGGCGGCTCTGGTCACCCTTAGACTCGGGGCCACGAGCGGCGGCAGACGCGAGTCGCACTCCGTATCCCGCTCAGCGAGCATAGCTGCGACGGCAGCTGCGTGAAGCGGGTCCTCAGCGTCCTCCCACACCTCGTCATCGACGGTCGGACCGAGCAGGTCATCCACCACCTCGACCGAGTGGAGGGTGGTGTCACCGAGGTTCGTGTCACCGCGCCGGTCGGACTTGTCACCGGCGGACACGCATCTCTGCGGCGTATGGAGGAGCTGCGCGGCGGCGTGAGCCGCTACCATTTGTTCGGGCGGGTCTCCGTCCCCACTCCGTACTGGCAGGCCTCCCGCCGGCGGCGGCGAGGCTCCGTAGGCGTCAGCCAGCTCGGTAGGCTGCGCCGCATGACTACAGCCGGCTTGGCCGGTGCCCGCCGGCGGCGGCGACTCGGCGGTGCTGGCGGCTGGGCCCCCATCCGTGCTTCGAGTTGGCATGCCTCCCGCCGGCGGCGGCGAGGCTCCGTAGACGTCAGTAGTCTTACTCAGCTCGGTGGGCTGTGCCGCACAACAGTCGGCTTGGCTGGTGTCCCCCGGCAGCGGCGACACGGCGTAGCCGGCGGCTGTACCTCCGTCCCTGGTCCGCGTGGGTAGGCCTCCCGCCGGCGGCGGCGAGGCTCCGTAGGCGGCAGCCGGCCTGGTAGACTGCGCTGCGGTGCACCCAATCTGGCCAGTGTCCGCCGTCGGCGGTGACACGGCGGGGCCGGCAGCTGCACCTCGGCCCGTGCTCAGCGTTTGTAGGCCTCCCGCCGGCGGCGGCGAGGCTCCGTAAGCTACAGCCGCTGCATCCGGGCCTGCAGGCTGCACCGCAGTGGCCCCGGGTTGGCCCGTGTCCGCCGGCGGCGGCAACACGGCGTCACCAGCGGCTTCGTTTCCATGGCTGGTCCGCGTGGGAAGGCTTCCCGTCAGCGACGGCGAAGCTCCGTGGGCGTCAGCCGGCTCTGTAGGCTGCGCCGCGGTACATCCAGCTCGGTCCGTGTCCGCCTGCGGCGGTGACACGCCGGGGGCTGCCTCCATGGTCTGTGCTGGCCAGCCTCCCGCCGGCGGCGGGCAGGCTCCGCGCGCGCCAGCCGGCTCGGTGGGCTGCGCCGCGGTACGGCCGGCTCCTCGGCCCGTGTCTGCCGGCGGCACCGACACGGCGGCGCCGGTGGCAACCGATTGGCCTCCCGCCGGCGGCGGCGAGGCTCCGTACACTCCGTCCGTGCTGCACGTTGGAATGCCTCCCGCCGGCGGCGGCGAGGCTCCGTAGGCGCCCGTAGCTCCGTCCGGCTCTGTGGGCTGCTCCGCAGCACATCCGATTCGGCCCGTGTCCGCCGGCGGCGGTGACACGGCGTTGTCCGGGGCTTCATTGCTGTCCGTTGTCTGCGTTGGCCAGCCCCCCGCCGGCGGCGGCGAGGCTCCGTGGACGTCAGCAGCGTCACTCAGCTCCGTGGGCTGCAGCGCAGTGTGCCCGGCTGGGCCCGTGTCCGCCGGCGGCGGTGACACGGCGGTGCCGGCGGCTACCGCTACTAGCGCCACCCCCGGAGAGTCTCGTACTCTCGTCACTGCAGATGTCGCCACTGGACGATCGGCCGTGGTGCTCGCCCTCTGGTGGCATACCACCTCAAAATGTCCTGGTTCGCCACACGCACGACAGATGGCGCCAGCGGCGCGACACGTGTCTCCGCCGGCGTGCTGGCGACGACCACAGGTAGGGCAACGCTCAAGAAACTGACGAGATGTTTCGGCGGCGGCATGGGCGACACTCGGCCGCCTGCGGCCCCTCTTGTAGGCCGGCAGGTGGGCCACGAAATGTCCCTTGGTGCCGCAGAGGTCTTGGCACGTGGCATGGGCACTCCACGTTTCCCCCACTGTCACGGCGTGTCTGAGCGTCGGCTCAGAGTCCTCCAGCCTGCTCACCGCTCTTGTCTCACTGTCGCGCACACTGCACTCGACACGGGCTTTGCACGTCGAGGTCGACTTCAGGTGCGGGGCCGGAGTCGCCGACGCCGGCAGGCAGACAGTCCGGCGGGCGGCGGCAGCTGGTCCAACGGATTCATCAGCGCCTCGCTCAGCCCCCGACTCTGACACTCCGGCCGTCGTGCCCGTTCCGGTCCCCGCGGAGGGCTCTCTGTACAGCAGCCTCTCCAAACGCTCCAGGCGCTTGTCGGCCTCGGCGGCTCTCTCCGTCTGCCTCTCCAGCAGCGCCGTCAGTTCTTGAATCAAAGTTTTCTTCATCGCGCTGTAAGCTGCTCAGTCACGTAATTACAAAACCGACCGCGCCATGTTATGTTTTGGTTCGTTTCAAGTGAAAGAGCACACAATCAATGGAAAACGCGATTTATTATACCGCGATACGTTCAGGCCGAAAGAGTGTCCAAAAGAGAAACAAGTATGGCGAGCGCCGCGCCTCGTCGCCCGCGCCAGTCATGCCGCTCGGCGCGCACCGTCAGCTGGCGGCGGCAGAGGCGCTCACAGGCACGGAGCCGGGGCGGCCAGCGGTGGCGGCGGCAGGGGCGCGCGCAGGCGCGGCCAGCAGCCGTGCGGGGGTTGGACCATAATACAACAGCCCCCACAACGGCGCCTGCGAGGGCCCTCACCGGCGGCTGTGAAGGCCTCACACCGGTGCCTAGCTGAGGGCCCCACACTGCCACCTCTGGGTGCGACCGGCACCCTTGAATGAGGTCCCGAAACCAGTGCTTCTTATCGGCGGCTCTGGGGGCTCAACGCCGGAGCCTCTGACGGCCTCAGACGGGACCTGCGCATCGGACGGCCACTCACCGGTGACTTTTGAAGGCCCCACACCGACGACTCTGAGGGCCCCACTGGCGTTTGAATGTATCTTGCTGGTCTCTAAGGACTCCACAGGGCTCCCGAAGGCACCGCAGACCTCTTGAGAGCCCCTGTCGGCCTGTAAAGGGTTCGAGCCAGCAGCTCTAAGGGTCCCGCACCCGACTGTGACAACCCCACACTGCAGTGTCTCTGAGGGCCAACAACGGCAACTGTGAGGACCCTCACCGGCGCCTCTAAGGGCCCACAGTGGCAATTCTGGGGACCCCGCACCAATGCATCTGAGAGCCTCACACCGGTACCTGTGAGGGCCCACACCAGTGCCTCCAAAGACTTCATAACCGGCGGCCCTGAGGGCCCTACACAGGTGATTTTGAGGGGCCTACCGAAGGCATCACACAATCCCTTAGTCTCGCTGAGCTTCTATCCCAATCCCATACCGGCTTCTATCCCAATACCGGCTCAACTAATTAGCAGTCCGGAGTCCCCCCCCCCCCCCCATGGGTCAGCAGCGCCGCGCCGATGCCGGGGGCCAGCGCCATCGGGGCGGCAGTCGGCCACGCGCACTCAATGGTTAGCGCTTAGCACCGACGGCTAGCGCACGTCCGGTGTGTTATCGGCCGTGAGCCGCTCCAAAACGGCTGCAGTAACTAGTCGATACAGGTAGTAAGCAGATGCAGAGATGCAGGTGGATTGATGACCGGCAAGCTTTTGTGTTTTGCGAGAGTGAAGGGTCGAAGTCGGCTGCTAAGTGGTGAGCGGATTTTATCAGATGCCGGTTCACCATGACCTTTGTCCGGGTCCTGGTACCCTGACGCACTCTTGGAGAGCCGAATCACAGCAGAAATCCACCCACGACTGTATCTATAAGGCTTACGCTTTTCTGAAAACGTCTGCGTTTGGCGTTCTACGGGCCCGGCCGGCCGGCCGGCCGCACCGGCCCCGATTGGCGGTCCTCCAGTGACGTCACCGGTAGTGTTAAGCTGATTGGCGAATAATACATGGGAAGAACCGGGACGACATCCCCCTGCGCCGCATGAGGAGCCATCCTCTTGTAGTGGCACATTATCTGGGACGACCAGGTCCCATTCCGCCCAGTCGATCGGACTTGTGCCTGCCTCGGCACATTCAAGCAGCAGCTGGACCAGCCGCATAGCGTCCTCGGGGGACTCAGCAGCATAGAGTCCAGGTGCATGATGCGCCTGACAGCTCGAAAAACAATTAACTGGGCCCAGTGGATGCCCGACCTATCGTAAGGCAGGATCCACAATTTGGCCGTGGCCGCTCCACGCTTCTGTAGAGTGTCTGACATCGTCAGTGGGCCAGTGCACAGTGGGGCCGTTGACCAGTTTAGGGCGAATTTATTCGTAGCGTTGTTAATATTTCTCAATATGTTTTTCAAATGGTTTAAATGGGTATATTTAGGCATTTTGGGTCATCCCTGATGCTTTCGATATATTCGATAATCGAAAAAGCATAAACACACGATGCATATGTATTGCATCACATGTTACATACATACACTTTGAACACTCTCACGACACGCCGCGCTGGTTCGACTCTGCCAGTCACTGCTGTCACTGCTGAACAGTCACTGCTGCTGTGGCTTTCGTCGCTGTCGACATCACTGCTGTCGGTGCCGTCGTCACGACGTAGCTGATTCTCTCTCTCTCTCTCTCTCTCTCTCTCTCTCTCTCTCTCTCTCTCTCTCTCTCTCTCTCTCTCTCTCTCTCTCTCTCTCTCCCCCCTCCCCTCCCCTCCCCCTCCCCCTCCCCCTCTCCCTCCCCCTCCCCCGGCGCTGCAGACCCAGGCTGCTGAGCAGCGGGTCGCTCGCCACGAGCAGGTAGCCCAGGAGATCCGACATCGTGTGGATCCTCGAATCCTTGCGGGTGTGTCGAAGGCGGTACTGGCGGACCCGCTTGTGGGTAGCCTCTGCTGCTTCCTCAGACATCATACCGATCGGGGAGGTGGCAAGACTCCACCACGGCCGCGGAGTGGCTCAGCAGCTTGTGCAGCGTGGAGGACATGTACCTCTCCACGTACAGGTCAGCCGTGCGGCGGCAGTACGCGGAGAGAGCGTCGATGTCCAGTCGGTGCAGACAGCTGACAGCCTGCAGCACCGTGCCAACCCGGTCGATCAGCTCCTGGTCGACGCCGGTGCAGGCCGCGAACTCGGCCGGCGAGCGGAAGGCGCGGCGGGCGGTGTTGCCGTCGTTGGAGTTGCCGCTGCCTCCTGCCCGCGGCTCGTCCACGCGCAGCCCCATCCTGGTCCTGAAGGCCTCCTGCACCTCAGCCGGGTGTACGGAAAGCAGCAGTACGGGGCAGGAATGATCCAATACCAATAATCGAAATCATCGTGGCCAAAGAGGACTTATTTCATACTCTCGAAATAGGTTACGATACATTTGCCACCCAATGACTAGCTGACACACATCCTGACCCATAACAGGCTCGATGATTGGCTGCTGTAGACAGTGACATCACTCAATGGGCGGGACTAAAAACCACACGTCATTCCGGATCCTGTCGGGTCACGCACCGTCCGCCCCCAGGTCAGGTCACGGCGCGCGGCTGGGTCATGACCGAGCGGCGTGCCGTCGGTCATGTTTAAACTCGAGCTACCGGTGAGGCGAGCAAGTTCGAGCAGGAAAAAAAGGTCGGGCCAAGTCAAAAAATTCTGGCAAATTGCAATCATGCTAGATCTGACGTGGCGGCAAACGGCGGTAGTTGTTGAAATCTTCGGTTTTCATGAAACATCGTTATGAAAACGCTATGCATGTATTGGTTTGATTCTATCAGTCGTAACGTGCAGACGATAGGTCAGCCAGTATTGCAAGTTATCCTATCGTTTTTTAGAGACATTGGGAAGAACAATGGTGTATGATTTATATCAATTCAATATGTATTACACTATGTAAACTTGCGTTACAAAAGTCGCGTTCTCGCCCGCAAATCGGCAGGATATGAGAAAGCCAACAATTTGTCCACTTTGAGTTGTCAAATCACCCCCTAAAAGTTGCCATATGTGCAAAATTCAGGTGGTTTCATAAAATTCAGGCAATTTCCTATACATTCAGCCATATTTCAAGCAGATTTTCGAAAGTCACTTTCTTGATTAAATTCGCCCTAAACTGGCCCGCGGCCCGTCCGTGCAGTGCAGCGACTTCATTCTGGGAGCCAAAACACCAAAAAGCCCACGACTTTTCCACCGGTACCACTGGTCAAGACCGCCAAGTAGCAGTTGATCACTTCATCGTCCAGAAGGCCGTCCAGAGTCTGGATGCTCACTTGATGAATTTTGGGAGCCACTGAGACCAGATTCCTCGCCGGGGCCGCGGCGGGCGGGACCAGCCTCTTCGCCTGGGTCGTGGATTTCTCGAACACATTGGTTTTGCTGCTTCTTTCTCCAACCTTGACCTTTCCCATCACAATGGCGGGTGGAGGGTAGGTCCGCGAGTGGTACACTGTAAAAAATGTCACGAGCCAATTCTATGACAAGGAGTGGGTTACACGGTCGTCCATTGTACCTTGCTGTTATTATATAGGGACATTATCAAGGCCCTATATACCAGGTAGGGTCGTCCGGCGATTCTACCTGATCGTGACGTCAGCTCGTGACGTCATCTGGGGGCAAGTCTTGAAGTCCCGTTTAAGTCCTATGCAAATGGGCGATTTTTGAAGCGCTGTAGAACAAACTCTGCTAAAGCTAGCACAAAACTAAGTGCATCATCGGAAAGCCGAGACATTTTTCTTTGAATTATCTATGAAGCGTTTTTCACTAAACCCATTAGTTTTTCCAAAATTGCGTAAAAAAGCCCCCATGCCTCCGCAGCCTCCCTTCCACCGGCCGCCACGCCGCCGCGGTAGCGTAGTGGTTAGGATGCTTGCGCCGTAATCCAAAGATGGTGCGTTCGAATCTAGGCGCGGGTCGTACTTAAATCGAAATTGCAAGCATAATATGTGTTTTTTCTTGATAAATCACTTATATTACAGCTAACCGTTCATAAAACTATCGATAACAAATGACTGAAACCCAAAATATAGAATACATTCTAATAAAACAAATTCAAATATGGCGGCCGTTGCGCCAGGCTCCGCCCCCGACTCCGCCCCTTCGTGTGACGTCATCTGTGTACTTGGACACACAGGGAGATAGGGGACGACATGGGCCTGGACATTATCAGCCTGAGCGTTGATAGTTAAAGAGTGCCCTCGTAAAACAATTGGTTACAAACGGTAACCTAATTACGGAGCGAGCGAAGCGAGCGGAGTCTCATACTGAATTAAGGGAAAATCCTGAGTATGAGCGGCCGGCCGGCCGTGGGGACGCTCTTCAAAAGCTAATATCTTAGGAACGGGACATCCGATTGACAAGCGGTCTTCTTTACTGAATGTCACTTGGACGTAAAAGTTCTGTGGTGTGATGGCCACCATGCGTTCTTACCAAC